CAGGAAGAGGAAGCAGGGAGACAGAACCTTCAGGATGTGCTGCACGAACTGCTGTACACGGCAGGGGAGGAAAGGCTGAGGTCCATGCTGCCTGCGACTGGCTGGGTGGAGCCACACACCACGAGAAGGACCTGGAGGAGGAGTCTGCTCGGGCTGGGCTTGGGTTGGAAGGGAGACGGTTTCCTTTTGGGCTTGGGATCCTGTAAAGCTGCCCACGTGCTGGCTTGCAGCTGTTACCGAGCACATGAGCATGTGACTGCAGCACTGGGAGCTCATCCAGACAAAGTACAGGAGTCCCCAGCTGGGACAGGTTGTCTCGAGGTCAGGCAGGAGAGGACGCTAAGAGTGAACAGTTAGGCTGCAGGGGGCCAGTGGGAGTGGTGTCACAAATTCAAGAGAAGAGAGAGGTTAGCAGTATCAGATGTTATAGAAAGATCACGTAAAGTCTGTCAATTGATAACTATTTATTACCTATAATAGTACTTGCCAGGCATTATGTCAGGCTTTTGAGGTACAAAGTGAACAGAAGAGACAAAGTCTCAGCCCACAAGAAGTTAGGACTGAAGAGTCCATTGGGTTTGGCAAACCTGACCAACTCTGGGCTTCACTCATTTGTTCACTCTGTCTTTGCTTGTGAGTTCCACAGGCAGGGGCAGGACCGCTGCTGGTCCTGCTGACGGACTGTCCTGTCCTCTAGAATCGCTCCTGAAATACTGCTGTAGCTCTCACAGTATTTTGGGAATGGAATGAACAGACAGGATGCCTTTGGTGACCTCTTTTAGAGCTGCTTCAGTTGACTAAAAAGGTAGGAGTCTAGTGCAGAGGGTCAGGGACCAAGTGGGGCGTTAGAAAATAGGAGATGAAGACGATTCTTCTGAGAAGCTGCACAGTGAAATGAAGAAGGATATAGACGTACCTAGGAAAAACTACGGAGTCTTGAAAAAGTTTTTATTTTCTTTGAAGGATACAGAACATTTGAGCTGGGCCTGTGGCTGCATGGTGGTGAATGTGGCTAGACCCCACATGGCCAACGGCATGGTTCAAATCCCGAATCCAGTGACTCAAAAAGCACACTGTGTGTGTGTGTGTGTGTGTGTGTGTGTGTCCCAACAAACCCAAGAGGGAAAAATAGAGCAGAAGGGGTTGCAGCATGACCATTTCCCAGGGAGGGTGCTTTCTCACTTTCTTTCTCTGTTTCTGTCTCTCTCTCTGGAAAGCACATGTGCTCTCTGACAAATTAAGAGACAAAAAAAAAAAAAAAAGCACAATTTTTAGCCTATGAGGAAGGAATCAATAGAAAATGGGCTGGAAATAATGGGAAGGCAGAAGAGAAAATGACAAGCCCAGCCCCAGTAGCACAAGGGCTGGGGTGCTGCTGTACAATGCTGGCAGCCAAGGGGGAGCCCTGGGTTTATCTGAACATGCAGGAGTGCCTGCAGTCCTGCCTGGCTGTAGGGCTGGGGGAGGACTGTGGTGTGAGGCCCCGGCAGGGTGCCTGTCTTTGTGTTCCCCCTCATGGCACCAGTGACACTGTTGCATTTAGCACTGAGCTCAAGAGTACAGCTTTGAAGCCAGACTGCCAGAGTTCAAATCCTGGCTCTGCCATGTGTAGTTGTGTGACCCTGGTGACTTATACTCTCCTTGTCTCAGTGTCCGAATGCTTCTAATGTGCTAAGAGAACATGGGTCATGGCATGGTGGCTGGATCAACTGAGCTGGCACATGCAAGATGCCCACTGGTGTACACTAAACTCTCGATTAAGCTATTTTGACCATAGTGATCACGGTGCCTTTTCTGCAGGGAGGTCTTTGCTAACCGGATGTGACTTTGCAGGCAAGGATTATGGCTTATTTTAGCTCCACATCTCTCGCACAGAAGCATGGCTGTCACATAGCAGGCCTTGAAAGCTGAGTGTTGAATGGATGTGACACTGCCGTTCGCAGCTCAGGAATCCAGCGCTCCTATGCCACCCCCACCCTGAACTTAGCCTAGCTGACCTTGGCTGGGTTGGAGACCTCGTCTCTCTTCCAGTTTGGTTTTTATACCATGGTGTGGTGACTATCACCGGCTCCTCTCACTAAGTTTCATATTTTATTATATGTTAGAGCTTAGAGGAAATTACAGATTAACAAGTCTAACTCTTTCACTGTATGGGTAAAAAAATTGAGACCAACGGAGTTTAAGTACTTTATCACGTAAGGTAATACAAAACGTGACCAGTACTAGAGCTGAGCTGTATTCTAGGACACAGGTAATGCCATGCTGTGGCCAGCATGTTTAACACAAATGTCCATAAGCCTTGCCTGCAAAGTCTCATCTGTTTAGCAAAAACCCAGGTACTTGGATGCCACGTGGCCTTCATCTTGCTGTTCCTTCCACCTGAACCCCTGCCTGTTGGGGCTACACCTCAAACTCAGCCCAGTTTCCCTTCTATGCCAGGTGGTGTCTACGACAAGTAGTAGTATCCAGGGGTCCAGCAGGTGGCATGGGGGTTAAGGTGCAGAACCACCAAATGGCCAACCATGGTTTGAGTCTCAGACCTGGTGACTTGCTTTCTCCTTTTTTCTCTCTCTGTCTCTGGTGAGCACATGTACCTTATAGCAAATTTAAAAATAATAATAAATAAAATTAAATAATACTTTTAAAAAGAAATAGCATCCAGAATTGCTACTTCTAGTTCTCCAACCCGCCAAAACCGAATTTCTCGGTCTCCTCATTCCTTCTCTTTTTCTACCCTCTGCGTGCCTTCCCCAGGCACGGCCAATACGTACGTGATGGGCACATCCTTGTACTGCGGCTGCTGTGGGACACTGCTTCCCTCCAGAGGGATCTGAGTTACTGTGGGCATGGACTTATTTACGAGCACTTGTTTGTTTTCTACCCTCTCACCTAGGAGAAGAGAGAAGTGTGTTAGACGTAGTGCTACCATCTGGGTGCAATGCAAAGGTCAGAGGGGCATGAAGTCATGTGGCTAGACTTGGTCCATGACATCGAGACACGGAAGAAAAGACTGAGTCCAGAGAGTGGGAACCAGAATTCACCAACACTCATATAATTCTGCAAGCCATTTTAAAAACTCAAGATTAAGATCCCAGTGTATAAAAGATTAAGAAATCTAGGGGACCACATTCACATTTCATAAATAGCAAGTTGAGGTATCTCATAGAATTTGGATCACTTATTTTTATTTATAGTTATTTTGACCAGTAATAAGTTATTGCCAATTCAACTTGGGCAATGATGGAACCAACACTTTCCTTTAGTTTTGCTGCTATTCCTGTTTTTGCTTTATACCGTTCCATGATAAGCTCAAAGTCCAAGTCTCCACAGCACTGTCACCACAGCTATGTTTCAAGCCATAGTGATCAGCATTAAGAGAAATTCTCCAAGAATCAAAGGTAGGGAGGATGGGCAGCCATGACCGGTGTGCCTCATCATGAGACAGCACTCACCACCAGGAACCAACCATGACAAGGTCATGTGATTTCCCCTCCCTACCTCCCCAGTCTAGCTCTCCTCTCCAACCCCCCCCCATATAGCCCTGACACCTGGTTGCTCAGTTGGCCTCCCCTTTATAAAGGCATTCTTCGAATCCTTCCCCATGCTGTGTTGGAGTAATCATTTCAAAATGCCTGTCAGATCACTTCACTAACTTTATGACCATAATGAAAACAGTAATGTGGTCGCAAAGGCTTGCTTAGTGTGGCCCCTACTCCACAAGCATGCGTGTGCATCCCCCCACCCTTTGTGTTCATCATGGTCCCCTGCACTCTCTTTGTTTTAGCTACACTGGCCTACCTAATAAAAGCCCCAGGACACCTGCACCAGCTGGCATGGTGGTTAAGGTGCTGGACTTCCACATGGCCAACTGCTGATGAGTTCTGGACCTGGCTGCTTAAAACGCACACCAGGCATGTGTGTGTATTGTGTCCAAAATCCCGAGAGAAGAATAGAGAAAGGACTGCAGTGTGGCCATTCCCCTGGGGGGAGAGTTCTCCCCTTTTCTCTCTGTGTCTCTCTGTGGAGCACATGGGCCCTACAGCAAAAATCTTTATGAGAAAAAAGACACACAGAGTGCATGTGTATGAGTGTCCAACATCCCTGGAGGAAAATGGAAGAAAAGGGATTGCAGCATAGCCCAGGAGGTAAGTTCTCACTTCCCCTCTCACTGTTTCCATCTTTGGCAAGCTCACATGCCCTATAGCAAAACAAAACAAAACAAAACAAAACAACAACAAAAACCTTAAAGTGATTCAAAATTATAACCAGAAAATTATAGTTAGAATAAATTATTGCTATATAGAAGTGTAATTACATAGAAAAGCAGACTGGAAGGAAATTCATCAAAAAGATCACATTGGTCGAGTTTGAGCAGTGTTACAGGATTTTTTCACTCTGTTTACCAAATATCCAGACACGTTATTGAATAACTTGTCTAATTTCTAAAACTACACATTGAAACACATGTTTTTAAAAAGCTTTTACCTGGAGAACAAATGCCATCTGCATCTAAAATTTCATGTCGCCAGATGGGTTTCCTCGTTGCAGCATCCAACATGGGCCCCATCACTTTATCAAAAGTTTGATTGGTGTATCTCTTTAATGTACACTTAGCATTTTTATATACAAGGCAACGCCCAAAGCCTAAGATGAAACCAAAATGGGTATGAGAACCACCAGGAATAGGAAGCTATGAGAAAACACACATTTGTGCTAGTCAATAATCCCCCAACCTCATTCTCTCCAAAATACTCAAACTGTCCTAATTTAGATAATCTGGGACCGCCAAGTAACAATCTTATCATCTGAAGAACTGGCTTGGGATTCCTCCCCTATCCACTGTCTGCATGAACACTAGAATTCCTGCAACCATTTTTTGGCATGGAATACACCTTGTCATGTTGAAGGAAGGTAAGAGAAATCCGATAGTGACACTGAGATTCTTTCAGAGTACGTAGCCTCAGAATATCAGACTTGGAAGGTCCTTGGAAATCACCTATCTTCTCTTTTATATCTTCTCTCTTATAGAGGCTGTGTGTAAGGGCCAGGACATTTAAGTGGCCAATGTCAACCCAGCAAGTTGGGAGAGGAGCTGAGAATCATCCAAGGTCAACTACTCCTAAGCCAAGATTTTTCAGTTTTTTTTTTTTTTTTTTTTTTAATAGAGATTTTTTGCTATAGGGTGCATGTGCTCACTGGCGCAAGAGACAGAGACACAGAAAGCAAGAAATCACACATACTCCCTCCCCCCAGGGGGATGGCCACACTATAATCCCCTCTCCTCCATTCTCCTCTCAGGATTTTGGAGCACACAGGCACATGAGCTTGGTGTGAGTTTCAAGCCTCTGGGTCTGGGACTTAAACTGCAGTGGGCATCCAGTGATGTAACCATTATGTTATCTGCTGGTCCCTAAGCCAGGACTTTTGATAGATGTCCTTTTCATGCACAACTTCTGCTAATCTCCAGGAAGTTTTCCTATTCTGATTTTGACATTTAGAGGAAGTCTCAAATAAGCAAACCAAAAAATAAATTTTTCTTCAGTGAAGAAAATGAAAAGCAAGCAAATGATTTACTAGCAGAGAGTTTTCCTCTGCTGTAAAAATTAGACTTTTCTCTTATAAGTTTACATTTTTAGATTGTACTTAGTGGATAAGGGACAAGCTCTAAAACTAATAATCTAAACATTAATAAGCAAAATGAAAATAAAACTTTGGGAACCAGCAGGTTAGTGTAATGGCTATGTTGCTGAACTCCCATGTAGTCAACTGCAGTTCAAGTCCCGGATGCAGTGGCTTAAACTCACACTGGGCATGTGTGCATGCGTGCGTGCCCAAAATCCCATGTAGTCAACTGCAGTTCAAGTCCCGGATGCAGTGGCTTAAACTCACACTGGGCATGTGTGCATGCGTGCGTGCCCAAAATCCCAAGAGGAGAATGGAGGAGAAGGAATTGCAGCATGGCTTCCCCCACTGGGGGGTGATTTCTCGCATTCTATTCTATTCTATTCTATCTCTCTGTCTCTCTCTTTCTGGCGAACATATGCTTGCAAAAATTTCTCCAAAAAAACAAAACAAAAAAAAAGAGACCTTTGAATGGGGAATAAAAACCTCTACTACTGAATTCCTCAAAAAAAACGCATCAGCTGCATTCATCAAATGCACTGTCATGTTTTCAACACTAACTGCCACTTCTCAAGATTCTGCAGTTGAATATGCTCTCCTTTTTTGCTTTGGCCAAATAGGTATTTTAAACTAGATCCTCTCTCATCTACTCAGGATATACTGAGCCATGTCATAATGGACTTAAAGAGGAATTAAATGCCAGCTATCACTGATAAAATATATGCATAGCTACAAAATCCTACTTACATTCCCCTACAGTGGAACTTTCACAAAATCAAGGAACATATGTTTAGAAAATCAATTGGGTATAGTGGAATTTCTAATAAAATCTCAGTACACTTATATAATTTTTTAAAATGAAAAGGCAAAAAAGTGATAAAATAAAAAATTTCTATCACCAGACAGTAGATCAGAGGGGTGCATGTTTTCGAGCAAGGTCACAGTCATCATGCCTCTCGGTAAACTGTGTATAGGCACAATAAATCCGGCTCGGAGAGCCAGCTGGTTTGGAAAGATTGGATGATCTTAAAATTTCACACACCAGTCATTAACTGCAATGTGCTAGAACGCAGTGTGAGTCTGAACTGCATGAAAAATCAAGAAGTGCTTTCTTTTAAGTGTAAATGGATATTTTATCTACAGGTGGTAGCTTAAAAATGAGGGGACAGTAAACTCAATCGTTAAATCGTGTGGCGGGGTTTCTGACAGACATCGCAAAGTCTCAGATTTCCACATAAACGTTACTAGTTAATCAGAAAGGAAAACATCTAGTTTTAAAGCATGGCTGTTGTCATTTGGAGGAAAAAAAGAGGCATAAATTAAGTGCAGCCAACATTAATGCCAGAGACACATGTCTAGGAGTACTATTAGGGCTGCCTAGCAACTACAAAGAGAGAAGGGGAAGGCATAGTGGGTATGCCAGGGAGGAAAAGAGAAACCGAGATTATGAATAGAGAAGTCAGCCTTCGGATCAGGTGACGGCCAACAAACCATGAGGTGGTGACTTGCAGAGTAAACCGTCAGAAAACGGAGAAAGGAACGCACAGAACCTATGTACCTAGGTACATGTACGTGTTTTTAATGTTTGTCATTTGAAAAAAAAGTTTAAAATACACAAAAGTTTAAGATAGAGCCTTTTATATCTAAATATTGCTACTCCCCTCTCACGGGGCTGGCTGTTGAATATACCTCACTAGATAGATTGGAAAAATTGACTTCATATATTGTAATTCCCTATATAAAATAGATCCAAAAAGCCCATACCAAAACACAACTACCTCTTGTTTGCACATTATAAAATTCACATCACTTGAAACTGATATTAACATTCTGACACGAAGTGATTTTTACATCAATCATCCCTATACCTAGTTCTACAAAAAAGCACATTTGGTGCTAGAGCTTTGAAAACCCTTCACCTCTGTCCAAGGAGGCCTTGTTTAGAACAAGAGCATCTTCAATGTCGTAGCCACTGTAGCTCATCACGGCCACTGTCGCGTTCTGCCCAGCTGGCAGCTTCTCAAATTCGATCAACTCAATGGTTTTGGTTTTAACCATGGGTTTTTGTGGATATGCTAGTAGATACATGAGCGTGTCGATTCTGTTTCGCTGGTTGTAGCCAATGGTACCTTGATTGATATGGGAGAAAACAAAATGTAACATTTTATCATGTGAAATAATTAGGTAGCAATGAATGGAAAGAGAAACACGTTAACTTTGCAAATTAAAATGAAGAAAATCTTTAGGTCAAATATTTCAAAGCAGTCCCCCCTCACAGTGGCTAATTTCTTTAAAAAGTATTTTTTGTCACTAACACTTGAAAATCCTATAAGGAAGAAAAATTACACTCAGGTATACTAACCTATATATATTCGACTTCTTAGATTTATACCTAATGAATACTGTTTGGGGAATTTTAGCTTCAGCCGATGAACCCACAGGTCAGTCAACAACCCTGCACTTTCCCAGCTGCTGTGAAAAGGTAGCGGGTGAACAATGCCAGTGCCAATGGGCAAGGGACTAATGACGTGGGGCGACAGACAGAACGGGTGACCCACCATTTCATAAAAAGAAATCAACAATCACCAAAGTTCTGAATGCAAAAGAAAGCAAGAGAGAAGGGAAGGAACAGAGTGAAAAAAAGGAATGCTATTTAAGCATGAATAAGCATTTATTCTGCTCAAACATTGGAGATAAAGTGGGGAACGGCATGGCTCCCCACCTCCAAGGAATTAAGGGCCAGTCAGAAATGAGCTCTTCTCTTGTTAGCAGTCTTTCCACCTGACTGGTCCTTGGAAGGTACTACTGGGTCCCCGTCACCTGGAAGTGGAAGCAGAACACCAACCTTTCCTCTCTTTCCCCTTTAGAAACACAACGTGGTTTGTGGACCTGCCCAACAAAGTCTTTTGGGTTCCTGGGCTTGTGGACATATAACTGGTCCTACACGGAGACCTTAAAATTGGGAAACTCAGGTATGCCCTACTATTGCGCTTGAGCGTGTTTCTCTTTCCATTCATGCCTCCTCCTAGGCATCAAGTCCCCTCCTCCCAGAATGGCCGGGAACACAAGCTAACATTAGGAGAAAGGGCAGCCTGCAATCTCTCTTTCATCTGTCTCCACAGTGACACACATACAGCATCTACATACCCCTGGCTCCTCCTACGTGCCATCCCATGGAGCTGTGCCCTCGGTGAGCAGACACCAGAGCTCACTGCTTATGTCCTTTATTTTTCTCTATAGTCAGACCATTAAATCAATGACGATTTGTATTTGGGGATGCAAATAAACTACTGAAGCAATAAAAATGACCATCGCTGTTGAATGAAATCATAAAACCTGTAGGCTGGGGACCAGCAGTTAGCATAATGGCTATGTTGCTGGACTCCCTCGTAGTCGACCGCAGTTTAAGTCCTGAACCCGGTGGCTTAAACTCACACCGGGTGCGAGTGCATGTGTGCCCAAGATGCCGAGAGGAGAATGGAGGAGAAGGGATTGTGGCATGGCCATCCCCCCTGGGGGGTGATTTCTCGCTTTCTGTCTCTCTGTCTCTCTCTGTCTGTCTGGCGAGCACACATGCCCTGTAGCTAAAACCTCTCCAGAAAAAAAAACAGAGGGGGAAAAAAATAAAATAAAACCTGTAGGCTGTACCAAAGAAGTGCAATTAAATATAGTTCTGGCTTCAGCATAGATAGATGCTCGATAAATGTGAAGAGAATTAAATAGAAAAACCTCGTATTTCTATGGCAGTATACGTTTGGGCTTAGCTCTCTAGAACATTTATCAAGTTCAGCTGAAAAACAAGACCCAAACTGAACCTTGTGAACTTTTTGTCAAGTGTGCACTATAAATTGCCAATTAATTTATGTTATTTTAGTGCCAACTAATAAACTGGGCAGGCTACCTGGCAATAGATCCCTTACTGTTTTAGAAATAAGATCACTGCTACTGGGATAGTGGTAAAGTTCACTGACAATAAGTTTGTCCTTTTACATGAAATCATGTGAAATTTATGTTGAGATTTCAGCTCCAATTGTGTACTTTACCCAGCTTGAGACAAGGGTTGAGAAAATGTCCCACCAGGCTGCCAAACATGCCTCCTGAAACCTGAGACAAGCGTTATTATGCGGTGGGGAAGCACAAATGGCTGCACCTCTAAACAAAGGGGAAGGAGACTAGACCCTGCTATAAATTGTGCTTCCAGGCCCAGAACATAATTCTCAGGCAGTACAACTGACTCTTGAATGGATGAACAACAAAATAGTTTAGCAAATGTTTAGTGCTTAAGAGCTCATTAGAAATTTTTCTTTAAAGACTCTAGAGAACTTGTGAGAGGGTACATGTAAGTACATTTCACTTACTATGGGTAATGACTATGGGTATCTATGTAAAAACATGATTTATAAACTAGAATTTCTAAATCATAAAATAATGAAATGCTACCAGACTCTCATTTTTATAGAAATTATGGATGTCTGACTCTTGCCAATAAACAAACTTTCCTGAGAAAATGACACAGAAATGAAACTGCGACTGCCTATGTGAAGCACACGCTCAGCTATGATGCCCCTACTACTGTGCTCAGTTTCCTTTGAAGAAAGGCGTTAGAGGGTCAGTCAGTGGCATGATGGATGGGGCAGCTGAATCCACGTGGCTGACTTTGCGGTTTGAATCCCGAACCTGGTAGCTTGAAAAAATGCTGGGCATGTGTGTGGATGCCCAAAGTCCCAAGAGGAGAGTGGAAGTGAAGGGGTTGCAACGTGACCTTCCCTCCCCCACCTCCCAGGGGGAGGTGATTTCTTGCTCTCTGTCTCGCTGTCTTTCTGGCGAGCACATGCGTCCTATAGGGAAAAAAACTCTTTTTTTTTTGTTTTGTTTTGTTTTTTTTTTTTTTTTTTTGAGAGGTTTTCGCTATAGGGCGTGTGCGCTCGCCAGACAGACAGAGACATAGAGACAGAAAGCGAGAAATCACCCCCCAGGGGGGATGGTCACGCCGCAATCCCTTCTCCTCCATTCTCCTCTCGGGATCTTGGGCACGCACGTACACGCGCCCGGCGTGAGATTTAAGCCACCGGGTCCGAGACGCGAACCGCGGTCGACTACGTGGGAGTCCAGCGACATAGCCATGACGCTAACTGCTGGTTCCCGGGAAAAAAACTCTTTAAAAAAAAAAAAAAAGAACTTTATTAAGAAGCTATACATTAGCATAGTAAGGTATATAAATTTAGATTATATTGAGTCATCAGAAAAGTCATGACAATTTTTCTGCTTTTCTATGCAAAAAATGTGTCATGACTTTTCTGATGACCCAATAACATTAAAGAAACACATTTTTTATGCTAAACTATATACTTGTGAGAAAGAGAACCCTTGATAAGATCTCATTATGCCATGATCCCTCTCCCCAGCCCTCCAGCTCCTCAGGATCCTGGGCACTGTGCGTCTGGCATGTTTTCAGGCTGACCCAGGGATCTTAACCCATGGTTGGCCATGTGGCTTCCAGCAGGGTGGTCCAATATGCCACTGAGGCCGGACCTGCTTTTAGCTTTATGGTAGGATAAAAAAATTAATCAGACTTAGAATATGTGTGCTGAAGCAAATGAAGTTTTATGTACTTAACTTTTTTTCTATCTTCCTTTGCCCAATTCTTTTTTATTTAATCAACATCACTCAATACCACAAACTTCATCCACTGAAAGCATACATACTAGTGAGTTCTGGCAGATATATAAACATAAGAAACAACCTCTATAATCAAGATTCACAATATTTCTAACACCCCCAAAAGATCTTTCCTTCTGTCCCTACCCCTGGAAACCATAGATCTAGTTTTTAGAGATTAGTTTGTGTTTTCTAGCATTTTACATAAATGAAATCATACAGAGAGACCGTTTTTCATTTAGCATGACAACTCTGAGCTTTATCCAAAAGGCTGTGTGTAATGTAATTCATTCCTTTCAGTGTTTAGTAGTCCATCTGATAAATATACATTTTGTTTATCCATTCACCTGTTGATGGATATTTGATATGTGTACTTGCAAGTTTTGGGCTGCTGTGAATAAAGCTTCTATAAACACTCATGGACGAGCCTGTATATGTTCCAATTTCTTTGGGTAAATATTTAGAAGTAAAATTTCTGTTTTTTTTTGTTAGAGGTATTGTTAACTTTAAGAAACTGTCCAAGAATTTTCCAAGTGATTAT